TTTTAATTTATTTTTATTATTATCTTATGGAATTTATTCTTCATCTATCTTGTACGATATGTACTGCATAATCGCTGATGGATGAATTGCATAGTCAAGCAGTATTACTTTAAAAGTAATAATAAAAAATAAATAGAAGAAAAAGGCATGTTGCAAAATTATTTTTAAATTTTACATTTTACTAGCCGCTTGTGCAGCCAGTAGCGCAAAACATTTATTATTAATTAAAAAAATAATCGGACGGAGTTCAGATTTTTAACTATCGCCCAAAAAGGTATCGCCTAAGATGGCTTATCAAGTAGAGGTTATCGATAGACATGGCCCAGGTGGAATAGTTAAATAGTTATAGGATATTAGGTGAATATGCATTTAGACTAACATGGGAACATTACTTATATATATACTTCTGTATATTTAAAAAGTAAAAAATATGTAATTCTATAAAAATATTTAATGTTTTTAATTAAATAGATCATAAATTAAATGCATTGTAATTTAAATAAATCTGATTAAAAGAAAAAAATAACATTAAGAATTGCGTGTATCGCTTTTAATTGCTGTTTGTTAAATAACACACAGATTAAATATGAAAGAATAATATCTTACGTTTTTGGAACGGCAACAGACTCGAATGAAGAGTGAAACAGCGCAAAATCGTGTTTCGAGACAACAAGACCTTTGGGGTTAAAAAGAAAACCAAATACAGTACCTTTTTCTCCTGGTGGCAGATAAAATTGGTAAATAAATAAATAAATAAAGTAAAAGGTTTCCGAAGTAAATCCTGATAGTTTCAACTGACGGAGGGGGGGGGAGGAATCCACATTGAACTCCTGGGTTAGGAACAAAACGATTGTAAAAAATTATGTTCATTCACAGCTGATATGGATATCAAATGTATTTTAATTGTCTGCTAACGTATAGGTAGAAAATTTCTAATAAACGCACGCTTCTATGTTTATTAAATTAATCCAAAAGGTATCAAAAGTAATTGGCTTTAAAAACCAGAAAGGGAAGGCCATGAAAGAAAAACGCTGGACATAAAGCGTCTGTTGAAAGATGTATGGAACTATCTCGAGTTGAGTCGGCTTACAAAAGGGTCATGGAACTTATCCAATCCACAACCCAGGGTGACCTGCTGGGTGGGTGGACGCCGCAAGTACGTCGGTCTGGGCGTCCCTTGCTGAAGTTGTGAGCTGAATAAAATTATTGTTATATAAAGCAGGGGAGAGTCAATCCATTCTTCCCTTTATTACTTCGCTTTATCTCAACTCGGCTGATTGTGGGCTGTCACTGATGCCGACGAGCACAACGGTTCCAGAAAACCGGTTGTTGTAAAAAAGATTGAAAGAAAATATGGAGACTTGATACGCGAAAACTGATGCTTTTTTTTTCTCCTCGGACGAGATACGAATATTATACACAAGGAAGAGTAATGGAAAGCGAATAAGCTGTGACAGTGGAGTTGGACATTTGATATACACCACTACTGGTGTACAGAAAACGAAGATTAAGAACGAAGATAAAAAGAAAATTAAGAGCGAAAGAAAGGGAGTAAGGATAGAGACTCACAAGACCGCATGTATTTATGCACAGTGCCGGATTAAAACTTTTAGAGGCCTTAAGCACTTAATATAGCCAGCGCCCCCTCTCCAATCCATTCCTTGTCTTTTTGGATTTTGGTTTTGTTGCATCATGCATTCCATGGTAAAACCTGGAAAGGAAAATTTTTTGGTACTCCCTTTCTTGAATACCTAAGGCCCTTTTTGTGGTGCCCCCTTCCTTGATGCCCTAAGCAAGTGCTTATATTGCTTAATGGTTAATTCAGCGTTGTTTACGCAACCAATCAGAAGGCGACACAAAGTAAATGCATTACGAGACCTCCATGATGATCATTACTTAAAATTCCGTCTTTGTTAAAATATTAGCAAAAAGTTTATTGGGGTATGCCAAAATTACGTCCATGCACACAAAATGCATGAATGTTAAGATTAATGAAAATGGAAGATGTACTTTTGCGTTAAAACTAATATGCAGCCTGCAGTAAATTATGTACAAAAATAACAAGACCAACTTGAAGAAAACTGAAAAAAAAAAACTCGATATCACAGAGCGTAAATTTTCCCCTTTTCTTTTTTAAATTTAAATAACTGAAATGACATAGTACAAGAACTATACTTTTCCAGATTCTGATTATCTAAACGTGTGTTGAAGGGAAATTACCCAAATAAAGAAGTTACTTCAGAAAGGGAAAAAAAAAAAGAAAGATCAAAGTTCTGAAAAATCTCTAAACATATAAATGCTAAGATATTACCTATAAAAATTCGGAATCATACAAAGAACGGGCGTAAACCACGTTAAATTACCAGTTTACAATTTACTTTCACCATAACTTGCAAAAATTCGGATCACGATTACAGTCACCGATTTGGGAAATTTAAAAACAAACTTCTACATGAAAAGAAAACAACTCCAAAAGCTAAGAAATAAAGTCGAGAATATTTCACTCTTTTTCCCATAAATCACAAAAAACAGCTGTAAAAAACACGAAATATATAGTAATTCCACATCACGTACCAAACCATTCTTATCAATCGGGTACGAACACCAGAAACAAAAGCAAAGGGGGGAGGAAGAAATCGCAAACTGGTTTACAGTTCCATTAAAAATTGAGCACAAAAATAAGGAGGAGAGAGAGGAGAGAATCCTAAAGGCATTTCAGACACCAGCAAGAGGTCAAAAGCATATCGTCTGTCGAAAGATAAGAACCCCCGGAAAGAATGGTTGAACTAGAACATAAAAAAAAAAGATCGCTTTCATGCTTGCGTTCTACCTAGATATCAGGTCTTTTCTATTTCGAAAAGCATTTAAAAGGGGGTGAGGACAGGGAAAAGAAAAGTTCGGGCGCAGCAGTGAAAGGGAAGGAAAAAAAAAAAAAAAAAAAATCGTTCGATACGTAATCATCCAGATCAAAAGAACTCAGGTACCTATTTAAAAAAATTGTACAGTTCTTGGACGAAGAGATTTACATTGTGAAACAGAAAGAGTTGGGAAGGGAAGAAAAAATTATGGCTGCGAAGCCTCACAACCCCAGATGCACTTTTTTTTTCCATCATTGCAATGACCGCCAAGAATTCTCAGCGCAGTTCAGTAGAAATTTTTTTATTTCCTTCTTAGTTTCTTTCTGATGGAGTAAGAGCGAGTACTTTAAAAGAGCTTTTAAGGCATTTAATGGACCAAACTGCGATAACTGAAGCGTTCAAAATTATGAATAACACTTCGCATTTTTACTCTGGGACAGAAAAGCGCCACTCTGGCGTCTAAGACCGGAAACTAAAATGAAAGAAAAACACTATCATTAAAAAACTTTTCCTACAAAGAACTGGAGAAAAATATCCAATGATTTTTTTTTTAAAGCTCTCATTAGCTAAAATAGAAGAACTGACAAATATACACGAGATTGCAAAATTTAATGCTGAATTTTGAACAGTATTTGAATTCGTTTCATTTCAGTTAACTTAATAGTGAAATTTTATGTTTATTATTTTTGAATTAAATTTTCTGCATGGTTCTAAGGCTCTAAGACTAACTGACTAATGTTAATATATAATAATCATTCTGCAGGTTTACTGAAGATTGGGTGACTAATGCAGCGAATGCAGTTTCACCCAGGATAGATTTGTATCCCGATAGTGAGATGAACTGGTTGCGTTTTCGCAGTTTTTCTTCTATTTGTAAACTATATATAAGCCAGTTTCCTTTGAAAATGTTCTAAAATCAGGATTCTTTCCTCTTTATTTTTATTTTTGTAGCCATCGCAAGCTTAAAAAACTTATTCAAACGTTACAAATGTAATTCAAGTTATATCGTCATCTTCCATGCTGCGTATGCCAGTTTATGTACAATTCAATAAAACTACGTTTTCTACATTTCCTTTTTTTCCTTCTTATATAGCAAGATAAAGCAATACTGATAACCACATAACAAGTTGCATCAATTCTTGAGCAAATATGCATCTGAAGCGAAGAAGTAAATACCGATAGTTTCAAACAAAATCCAGTTCCTCGTGAAAAAGAATTCACTGCGAAGAGCATTTTGACGTTTCGTTTTAAAAGATGAGAATTAAACTCGTTTTTCCTTGTAAATTCCTTTGTGAGTGGGAAAAAATATTCTCCGATTTTTTAGCTCCATCAGTTTACAAAAATCTTTCTTGCATAAAGCGGTTATGTATGCCAGGTATTTTCCCTTGAATGCTCAACGCACTCAAAAGTGTGAGAATTCCTCAAGAAGAAACACAATAATAATAATAATTGCAAGCATCCTAATCCCTCTTTCGATACCCTTTGCTCACCAGTCTAACAGATTATATTAGACAATAAGGAACGTAAATTACTCCGATTCCCAAAAAGTTCCAAGAAAATGTTTGCAACGTACTTCTCGCTGGAAAGTAAAAGCATACTACCAAAATTTCTACGAAGTAACATCCCTCGGAGAATACACACTTGCTCAAGAAAATATATATGTGTGTGTATTGTCACTGGACTGGCGATCGCGTCATTTTCTATAGTTCTAATCACATGATAACGTAAGCCTCATAAAACTATTTTGATAAGATGAAACAACGGGATTATACGGTGAGAAATCTAGCTAATAAGTTGGTTGAATATGACAAGGATTTGTTTAGATCAAAGAAAACCAAGCATTTTTGGAGGTCAAACTCTCTTTGTTCGAATAGCGACACTGCGCCAAATGGTCTAAAGATGTTTAATTCCTTTCCTACTACGGCATAAACTACACTATCATGGATGACGTCACACAGCATATTTTTTCTATAGAGAGTAGGCTAACGCCTTTCATAAGCCTAATTCTGTTATTGCTAAGTTTCACTGACATGAAATTTTTGCGATTCTTTGAACAGAGAAGTATTCAATTTTACTTCACTAAATAGGCATTAAAAAAAAAAAAAAAAAAAAAAAAAAAAAACCACGCTACGGGATACTTACCCGGAGGGCATGAGCATTGGTAGTTGAGGTTATTTATGTGCTTGCATGTTCCACCATTTATGCACGGACTAGGATCACATGGAATGTACTGAGACTCACAGTTTTGGCCCGTATAACCGGCAGAGCATTTACACCTAGGTAACAAACACATCAGTTAAGCATAAATCTGTAACAGTAGTTAAAAAAAAAAAAAAAAAAAAAAAAAAAAAAGATGTTTGGGATCAAAGACAATGAAAGTTCACCTGTAGGATCCAACGGTGTTGATACATCGTCCATGTACGCACAGATCTTGTCGGCATTCATCGATATCCGCCGTACAGTTGGTGCCTGCAAATCCCCTTGCGCAAGTACAGCTGTAACCATCTTTGACAGATTGACAAGATGCACCATTTCGGCATGGCTGGGAGGCACAGTGATCCGGTAATTGGCAATGATCGCCTGAAAGAGAAAAAGTTTATCTCATTACGGCAGAATACACGAGGGCTATCTGCCTAAGAGAAGGGATGCATTCGCAGAGGGCTTTCTATGTGAAATAAACTGTATACATGTTACACGTCCATGCACAGAACCCATTTGCCGGGATTCGAGACGCGGACGGAACTACCAGAGTTCAGCGACTTTACAGCCCGGGTGCTGGTGGGCCAGAAAGAGAAATGTTTTTCTAAAATGATTACTGTTACAAAATTAAATTAATGCACCACAGAAAAGAAGCGTAAAGTTTATTTTATTGTTTTGCAGATCATCAGCTTTTTTTGGAGGGGGGGGGGAGGGAATATCTTCATAATTAACAAAATTAAAATGGATTAATTTCTAAGTAAAGAAAATATTTCTGGAAGATCTTACGCTCGTTTTTAAGCCGTGAGTTAATGCCAGAATATATTCATTTTTTTATATACGAGTATTTAACTTACAACGTTACCTTTTCGGAGCACAGATTTTCAAGACCACCCTCAGAGATCTGCATCTTCTACCTTCTTATCCAGTTCCACCCATTTTCCCTTCCTGAATCTAAGCAGTTCAAAGCACTAATTATAAATCATTGTATTATGTACCACACAAACGTCGTTCATTGGCCTCCAGAAGAAGAAGGTAAGACTGGAATCCAATTTCGCTATAGCTTTTAAGTTATTATGAAATAATCAAAATGTACGCCCCCTTTTCGATTAATCCTTTTAATTAAACGACCCCGTTGAAAACCCCTCCACGGTAGTTTAAAATGGCTGGTTTCAATAAAGGATACCTTCCTCCTCATTCACCTAAGGTATGATGAGGATATTAATCTCTTTTTACTGGTGTCAGAAATATATAGAAGTAAGTATTATAACAACAGAAACCTCTGCTGGCCGGGTATCTATCAAGCAAGGTCTCTCTTACTTGAGCCAGCAATGAATTTAATCACGGAAAATGTAGACGGCCATTAAGAAGTATTAGAACATTAGAAAGGATACGGTAAAAATCAAACATTTGAGAATTCTCTTATGATCAATGATTAAGCTTTTGGCTTCAGGGCTGACAGCGATTCCATTTAAAAATGATGAAAACTACCGTGCAGTACAAATCTGGCATGATTCAAATAATTAAAAATATTAATGTGAAATGAATACATGGAATGAATACACATCAATTTCTAAACAATTTCATCCGCGTGTAGAATTAAACAGTATTTGCAAATAATGCCTACTCTTATGAAAAGTATTGAACAAAATGCGTCAATTATGCCACCGAAGAATTACGCAAATATTTAAGAGTCGAATACGTAAGCGTACAAGTGCGTATCTGAGAAGCTGTGACTGCGAAAGTGATATAAGCCGCATGCGTGGTTTTCGGTGTGTATCCGTATTCTTTCACGACATTCTCCGTGTTTCTCCCAAGAATTAGGTGAATTTTATAAAGTATCATTTAAGATAAGTTGCCACCGAATGTATGAATGACAAAATGCGATGTCGGTAGATTGGAGGCCGGCCAATCACAAGCGCATGCGGCTGCAGAGCTCAATGTAACGTCGAGTGTCGTCTGGAACATATGGAAACATTTCAGGACCCTGGATCCATGTCGAGAAGACCTTAACAATATCGACCAAGATCCACAACGACGAATGAGAATCTTCATTTGGTACTTTCAGCGCGGCGACACAGCTTCACAACTCTCACATGAGCTGTATGCTGCCACTAGAATCTCATTTTTATGGTCTATAGTAGAGCGAAAAGGCTTCATGAGGTACGGCTGTATGCCAGAAGTGCCGTGGTTTCCGACCCGCTCACTTCAGCAGATAAGAAAGCGCGTTAGCATGGTGCAAAAATCATGCGCTTTGGACTAGATTTCAGTGGCGCACTGGGCTTTTAACAGATGAGTCCAGATTACTGATTCTTGGCGTACCTGTATCTGGAGAAGGCCTGGGACACGGTACCATTCCTTCCTCATCAGAGAAAAGGATCATTACAGTGGTGTATAATGGTTTGGGCAGGCATTATGTTGGATGTTGGATGGCCGCACACACATGTGTTTGACAAAGCTCGTCCACGTATAGTTAAGCTGTTCGACAATTACTGGAAAAGGAAGAAAGTGAGAATATTCGCCGCATGAACTGACCAGCTAGATCTCCTTGTTGTGTGAGACGAGATGTCTAAGACGCTTTTAGAAGGCCAATTTCATCTAGCTATTCCCTCCGAAAACCATCCAGGAGTTGAAAACTGCCTTGCTGCAGAAATGAGATCTTCAACCACAGAAATGCCACTCAATTGCCTTCCGTCTCATATGTCGTCACGTTGCCGTGAGAGGAGACCATACTTCACATTAGACTCATTTTCAGTTCGATATAAACATAAATTGAAATCCTGTTGACAAATACGTTATAAAACTATTTCAGCAAGAATTGTTCGTATTGGATAGCAATCTGTTAAAAGGTATTGTAAAGCAAATGCTATGAGATGAGCACTTAAGAACGTAATAAAAAGTTTTGGAATATGTATTGTTGAAATGAAGGGTAAAAAAAATCTGATAAGTATAATTAAAAGAACTATTAAATTATTAAAAGAATTATTAAATTATTAAAAGAATTACCCTTTTATAATAACTCAGTTACAAGTTTTAATAATACTTAGAAAAAAAAAAAAAAAAACTTATTTTATTCCCTTTTAGAAATGTTCAGAGAAAGTCAAGTACTATTTAAAGTATTTCGCTAATTCCTAATAATTCTCTAATTTAAAATGAACCGAATAGAGCATTAATTATAAATTGACTTACATTTTTTGATTTAAAAGATGCCTCAGAAGCCAAAAAAATCATGTCATATTTAAGAAAGTATTTTAGGAAGAAGCTCTATAAATAGAAAAGAAATAATGCATAATTTTAATATTAATAACACAATAAAATTGGATCTTAATTTTTATAATCCTTAACCGAATAAAATCGAATTACATTAAAATTTTTTTCTAATCTAATTAACGAAAACGTATGAAAATATTTCATTCAAATTAAACCATTCTGAGAAAACTGTCCTGTGAAAAGTATAGCATTTAATTCCGTTCAGAATGAAATTTTGTTTAAAAATATGTTGTTTCATATACTTAGGACTCTGAAGTGTTGTAGAAAAAGAAAATATATACATTTATATGTATATTTACTTACGACGTAATTACAAAATATACAACATTCGAAAGCGTCAAATCCCATTGAACTCGATGGTAAATGACCCAATGTTTTGGTCACCACGTAGGGATCGCCGGTGCTTCAGAGCAGGGTACGGAAGAAACTTGTTTAGGGCTCCTCCATCTTACTTCCTACCTCCATGGAATGCGATGAGGTGGAGGAGACTTGGAGAGACAGTCTTGGCCTGTAACAGGCTGTGGAGCTGATGAAGAATAGTTATTTTACTTGGAGAATTTATTTATGTTTGAAAAATTCATCCCATAATAGTTCGATCACATTAGCCATCTTGTTGATCACAGTAACTGATGTATGTTTTGGTATGTATATGGGCGGGAACTTCGCCAGTTCGATAACAATATCCGAAAGATAACAAGAACAGCGATTACTATCTGAGAACTAAGAGTTGGCCCTAATAAGGCCTAAGGCCTATAAATAGTAGTAATACTCTCATCCTTACCTCGATACCATTAAAGAAATAATGCATAATTTTAATATTAATAACACAATAAAATTGGATCTTAATTTTTATAATCCTTAACCGAATAAAATCGAATTACATTAAAATTTTTTTCTAATCTAATTAACGAAAACGTATGAAAATATTTCATTCAAATTAAACCATTCTGAGAAAACTGTCCTGTGAAAAGTATAGCATTTAATTCCGTTCAGAATGAAATTTTTGTTTAAAAAATATGTTGTTTTCATATACTTAGGACTCTGAGTTTGTAGAAAAAGAAAATATATACATTTATATGTATATTTACGACGTAATTACAAAATATTTACATCCGAACGCGTCAAATCCCATTGAACTCGATGGTAAATGACCCAATGTTTTGATCACCACGTAGGGATCGCCGGTGCTTCAGAGCAGGGTACGGAAGAAACTTGTTTAGGGCTCCTCCATCTTACTTCCTACCTCCATGGAATGCGATGAGGTGGAGGAGACTTGGAGAGACAGTCTTGGCCTGTAACAGGCTGTGGAGCTGATGAAGAATAGTTATTTTACTTGGAGAATTTATTTATGTTTGAAAAATTCATCCCATAATAGTTCGATCACATTAGCCAGCTTGTTGATCACAGTAACCGATGTATGTTTTGGTATGTATATGGGCGGGAACTTCGCCAGTTCGATAACAATATCCGAAAAATAACAAGTACAGCGATCACTATCTGAGAACTAAGAGTTGGCCCTAATAAGGCCTAAGGCCTATAGATAGTAGTAATACTCTCATCCTTACCTCGATATCCGGCAGCACAAGCACAGGTGTAATTTTGTAGAGTGACTAGAGTACAAGTGCCACCGTTTAGGCAAGGACTGCTATCGCAGCTGTTCGGGACGGTTATTTCGCAAAGCGATGCTGAAAATCCAACGGGGCACGAACAGGAGAATGTGGGACCGTTGGTGACACTGATTTCCACGTTACATGTGCCGCCATTTTGACATCGTGGTCCAGGACCGGTGTGGCATGGATTCAAGTGCTGGCAGTATTCTCCCACATACATCGGGGGACAGCTAAAAAAGAAGTAAAAAGATTCATATAATAACTGTATATTTATTTAAAAAAAAATTAATATTTACTTTCAGTAAAAATCGGCAGTTAAACACTCTCTTATTCACAAAAATTAATTCACATCAAAATAGTAAAACTGCGCTAATTTCTTGAGTATTACTACGATGTCACCGCTTTTTCTTTAAAAAAAAATTCAGTAATTACTTAAACTCTCTCTCCGGCCAGTGTGTAAATCCAGGGTCTCGTTGACATGGGCAAAAGCTGCTGAACGAGTTATTAATTTATATTTAATCACAATTTCGATCATTTTAGTAATAAATCTGATGCAGTGTGACAAAATTCCACCCAACACAGTTATAAAAGTAGTAGTTACCTCAAAGAATTTTAAAGAGAAAAGAAAAAATATCAATGAAACTTTATTATGAAAATGTGTTTGCGTAATCCATTAAAAATATAAAATATAAATAAATAAATTACCAAATTAAATTGGTAAGCTCATGAAGACGAAAACTCTCATATATTTTCCCAAATTTTATTCTGGTTATAATTATTTATAGGTTTTCCATTATTATTAAATATACTTTTACGCAGAAAGCAAGTACCCGGCCATTAGATTTAACAAAGCGGACCTAACACCGCAAAAAAAATTTCACCGCTTAAATCTAAAAAAATTCAAAAGAAAAAAAATTGTAATTCAAAAATATAAAAATTATAAGATTAACAAAAATTTGCACCTGATATGCAATTTTATTACGATAGACCAATTAATTAAAGAATTGGTCACAAAAATTAAAAATATAGAACATAAAATTTTATATTTAAAAGGAGCTGTTCAAGCTGTCAGAAGCATGAGGAGGGTGTGATATTATTTATTGCAAATTGATATTGCGTGGAGACATGTGCATTTATTTAACAATGAAAAAAACATATTTTACTTCCTTGTACGAAATAAAGGAAATATCTTTATCGCGAAAAATTTAGGGTATCATATTTCAACGGAAATATCTATTATGTTGACCGCTCCCGAAGCCATTTGGACGGTTTGTTTTAGTGATGTATGTAAGTCCGAACAGAATAAAGAACTCTTTTTTCCAAAACGAATTGTAAAATGGATTCAAAAGGGACTTTTTTCGTGACATCTGCACATACGTACGTACGTATGTATGTATGTATCTCGCATAACTCACACACGATTAGGCATAGAACATTGAAATTTTTTATGGGACTACTATTATAATACCTAACTGTGAATCTTCGTTTTTTATTGCATTTAGCAGCACCCAAACGTATGTACAATACCCCTTTATTCAGCTTAAAAGTCGTACCTGGCCTTTATTTTCGCAATCTTTGATCGCAAATATATACTTCCAATAACAGAAGAGTTTCAAGTGACGAAAATATTCATGTTTTTGAATATATAATTAAAAATAATAATAATAATTTTCCACAACTATCGAAATATAACTTTTAATGCGGTCTCCCGTTTCTTATATTTGGGAAGGCTTTATACTCGTTATGAAGAATAAAATTAAAAGAAGTTTGATTCCCCTATGACAAAACTGACAGGGATATTTAATTTCAGAATTTGCAGTTCTTGGTGTCATTTTCAACTTGCCTCGAGGAATAGGTTAATTAAATTAGAATAATTCGAGGGAAAAGGTCTAACCGAAGGTCAGCAAAAATGTGTATAATTTAATACACGTACAAGGAAGCTATGTGGTGTCTATACCAGATTTTTTTTTTTTTTTTAAATAAAAGAAACTTAATTATTTTAAACGAACTATGCATTTTTTTTTTCACTGGATCGCCTGCGTACCAATCTTTTAATACACATTTTTCAAACAAAAATACTTTTCATTTTGCTAGGATATGAAATCCGCTTGTTCACAATAAACACCTTTTCAAAATGTTTACGAAAATCTGCCTAAACGTATAAACGCATATTTTTAAAACGTTTCGTATCACTTTTATAATTGATAAAGGATAAATATAGCATGATAAAGGATAAAAATCTGCATGGATTATGTTACAGTTTTTAATATGTTACACCACATGTTCTATTTTAATCAATCTTTGATGATACTCAATCACATAGCATCTAAAGTCAACCCAAGACATCTTTAAAATAATTATTACGTCTTTTTCCCTTACAATTTCTTTATATTTTTAGCTTCCACATTTCACATTATTATTATTTTTAATAACCATCTTAAATAACTTTGATTAAGGTAACACCCGAAATCTAGTAATCACTCACGCAGCTGTAGTACGTAAATTGTACGTCAGCGAGGAATCTTAAAACGTTAATACAAATGCAGAATACGTTAACAGAACAAACACATTGTAATGCCGTAGTTGAATGAACCTGGTCGCTGTTTTCTAAGAACTCGAAACAAATAATTCCATCGAATTGGACGTTCTTTGAAATTATCACCATGAGAGAATTAATTCTTTACAAGCTCAGATTGTTTTACGATAAGTTTCCGAAGGAGGGAAGAAAGGGAAAAGCATTTGCATCTAATTAGTAGCCCATTAGAACAACAGGTTGGCATGAAGATGCTTCAGCAAGTTCATGCAGTAGCAAAAGGTAGGAAGACATGTCTCTGCGACGGGGAATCGTTTAAAGTACATAGCCAAATGAGCAATGACCATGAGGCGAGAGTTCTTAGGCGATGATGTCATTAGGTCAGTGATCTTGTAATAGTTGAGCCTGGGGTGTCGGTCACGAGTGGTAAATAAAAATTCCTGCGTCTGGTCAAATAGATGGTTTCCCAGAGAATGACAGCAACAGCTGTAGATAATGAAAACCCAAAGGTGAATGAAGAAATTTGAATTAGCCTTTTTTAAGTTTTAAATGATACCACAACACGTGTGTATTGAGGGCTCGATATTTCCTGAAAGATAGCTGGTAAAATAACAGTACTTGAGTTAATACATTTAGTGAAATTATGCCATTTACCATTAACGATCACCTATATTTAATTTATACTGCATAATACTCAAAATACCGCGGGAATTTATCGGTTTACATAACTGGGGAAAAATACAATGGAAATAAAGGGTTTTTTTATACAATAAGCTTTTACTTAAAATGGATATGATGATTAATGCACTCACTCAAAGGGGAAAAATAATTTATCTCATCATTTAATGAGAACAATAGATTAAATAATTATATTTACAGAAATCATCTACAATTTTATATCGTTAATAGTAAGAGCGTGAGGCACCATGATAAATTAAACGGCTTATACATTCGACAATACAATTAAATTAATAGAAACATTTAATAAGGTAATGTCAACATTTAACAATGCAACTGAACTAACAAATTTTGTTATTTAGACGCAACACACTTTTATTACTCGCGATACAGAATTGTAGATGAATTCAGTCAATAGGTTTGTGGCGGTTAAACCATAACTGGACTTTTGAACTATTATTTACTTTCTAACTTTCTAACTTTTTATTTAATTGAATTATTTCATATACCTAAAACTGTAAAGAAATTATATATAGGCAATTGTAACGGTACATCAGTATTATTATTATTATTATACAAGTTTTAAATAAAAAGTAGCATAAAATATATTTTCATTGTGTTTTATTTCTGATATATAGTTATATTACATGATATCAATTATTAAATTTTCACCCATTAATAAAACACATGCAATAAATTATAAGGAAATTATGAAATAAAGAAAAATAATTGAACGCCATTCACAGAATGATGAAATCGTTTTGAATATTCAGTTTCAAAAAGCCGATGTAATAACAACAATGTTACTTAACGAGCATTTTACTTGAGGCTAAAAATTAGAAAACGAATTTCGCCAATTAGTCATCAAGATAGCAAACTCAAAACTCTTCGGCCTCCCCTTGGTTTGCTTCCCACTGAAACACCTTAAAAAAAATTTAAAAAAAAAAAAAAAAAAAAAAAGTAGGAAATCCTTTAATTAATATTTTTTTTTTACAAATTTTGTTTAAAAAGGGGGCGAAATGCTTGAATCTGTGAAAATTTCGAAATTTTATATCCGATAAATTTTTAGATGCTAAAGTTTTAAAACCATGAACCTCAAATAGTTTTAAAAAAATGGAGCAATTTTAGCGATTTCCAAAAATTTGCTAAAAAAATTTAGAAATTAAGTTACAATTTTGAAACAAGTTTCACTAAAATTCCACCCTCCTCCGCTCTTTCGATGCTGCAAACAATAAAATTCTGATATGCTTAGTTTGTTCGTTAAACTAAGAAATGTGCGAAAAATTGTCTGAAAAATGTTGCTTAAAAAATGTAAAACTACTCTTTTGGGGAGGCAAAATACGGTTAATCAAGGAATAAAAATCAAATTTTCCTTAAAAACACCGTTGATTGCAGCATTATTGAAGTTCACTTTCGCAGAATAGAGGGTTAAGAATCAGAGTCCGCCTTTTTATTAAATCCTAAAGTATAAGAAAAATATTTATTACTCTGCACGACGTCTCAATCTCCTTTCGGAATCATAATGTTTCTTCATATCTATTTCATAAAGATCATTTATCTCATGATTACATTTCATGAAGATTTCTTGAAGTACAACAATAAAAGAATATATTTATATAATTTCTGAAAACCAGGATTTTTCAATGAAGAGACAACACGATGCTTACATTTTGGTTATTTTAACTTGTATTACTGTACTCTGAATTGACTAAAGAACTAATGGACTCTTATACCATGTAATGGATGATCAGAGATGGCGGCAACAGAAAGTTTCACATAGTTGCTTTGAAATTAATATTCATAACACATTGGTGAAGTAATTATCCACTGAGACAAATCGATAGCGAAGTACACCTAATGAAAAAAACCTGAGAAAGGATATCGTTGCGTTCTATCATCAACATTCTTATCAGATAAGCAGAGGTAGTGATTGGAACGGCCACATTACTCGCAGATTCAGAATGACTTTGAGCCGATATTAAAAGGGTCTTCCAGCCAGATAATCACCGAGTCATTTGT